GTAAAAATACACTGCTGTTGAAAGGGAATGGAGTCCTTTCCTCAACTTAGATAAGGAGCATGAAGTATTTGTGAAGCTGAGACAAGTCTGCTGTCCTTACCCAAGAGAGCTGGGATCCAGGAATAGGTGCCTTTCCAGAAACATTGGCCATGCCCCATCACTCCTCAGGCCTAACCATATACAGCTCTACAGCTCTTAAGGGCATGTTGTCTCTTTTCCAAGCACCAGGGCTGGAAGAAAGAAGAAAGCCTGCTGCTTCAGCGTTTCTGTCCAAGTGCTCCTCCATCAGCTATAGGGTGCAAGGAGAGAAGAGCAGAAGGAGGGGGCCGGGCTTTCCCTGTCTGTGCAGTTCCGGAAGAGCAAATTAGGTTGGTGACTGATGAGCCACCCTGTAGTCAAGGCTTTCCCAAGTGGAGAGTCTCAGTCTTGGGGTGTCTGGCCTGTGCCACCTGAAAAGCCCTGCTCTTTTTGTTTTTCCTGGGAGGCTGTGTGCCTGGTACAAAGATTAGCTTGGACCCTTTTTTTATGTAACTCAAGTTGGCATAAACATTGTTGTTAACCAAGCTTGGCAGTTTCTGACTTAAGTCTCCCAGGTAATGGCGAAACAGCACTCTTGAATAGTTCCCTGCTTTCTCTTCCTCAGAGGAGGGGGCTGCAATTGGGTAGAACCAGAAGTTTTAGTTCAGCTTTAAAGAACAAAGCTCCAAGTGTTGCCTTTTCAAAACAAAAGCCTAAATTCAAGGGGTGCATTAGGTCATGGATAAATCTGTTAAGTTGTGAAAATAAGACACACTAGGAGGGAAATCATTGCTGAAGGATATAGGGATGGTACAGACTTGGGACCATGCTCTGAGACTTGTGATGATGAGGAAGGACATCTGGTTACTTGCTTTTAGACGGTCCACCTCTGGAGTATTGAGAGATCTTTGTTTTGAGCTGACTGTTACTTTGCTGGAAGAGGAACTCTTTGCTGCGGTGATAAACACGCCTACCTCTCTCTGATTTCAGCAGTACGCTGTAGAAGAAAACTGTACTGTACATAGTATATACTACAGCACAGCGATTGTTAAGGTGTGAAAGGATTGAAAGAGCTTTTAAAGGTCCTGTATCACTCTAGAGAGTTCATATATATTTTTTTCAAAGCATCTGGATGGAAGTCCTTATCTAAGTCTGCTTTCATTTGTCTCTTGTGGTCCTTACATTTGAACAAACATTTTAAAAGACCAAGAGAGGAGAGGTCACAGCAGAAATGAAAGCTGCAACTTAAATATTCAAAACACTTCAGAGCTCTTGTGCTAGCAGGTTTCAGTTCTGTAGGGTCGGTTGTAATCCCGGTCCAGGTGACATTTCCTGGCTCTCAAATCGATTTTTAAAGTATGATCAGAAGGGCTGTTGCAGTAAGGGTGAGATGAGGTTAGGGCTCCCTATTCTTGTTTGGCAACAGTTCTGAAACTGATGTCACCTGTCTTCCGCTCACTTTTTAACCCCATAGACATAAGTATCTTGTTTGTCAGGGCTGCAGAGCTGAACCACTCTAGTTTCAGAACGTGTGGAGGGCCTGTCCGTGACCGTGGTGTGCCAGTGCTGTTCACCTTCCACAGGCTGCAAGCTGAGGCTTTCTGAAGGAAATCTCAGGGCAGGATCACATGAGGGGAAAGAATAACTAAAAGGCTAAAGGACTTTGATGCAAGATGTCATTAGTAGAGGACCTAAATTTGCCATGTTTTCAATATTGCCACTAGTCACTAGCAAAACTGAATGATGCAATGTTTTTATGTTTGGTTGCTTCCATCTAGACAAGTGGCTGATCATAATACAGCATAATGGATTAAGTACTGAGCTCAGTGTGGTACATTTCTCACACAAGGTATTTTCAGAGTTCTCTGGCTTGGATGCGAATAGCATGGTTAATGAGCTGTGCAATTCTTTGAAAATTTACCACAGCATGCAGAAATTTAAACGTCCAAGGTCCTCAGCACACAACATGCTTGTGAGCTCCCAAGGGCTTCAAATACAGGACAGGACTGACGTGTGCACACACTACATTCATACAGCAGCCTCTGCTCTGACCCATGAATATCCCACAACTTGTCAATCAACCCAAGCAAGCTCCCAGTGACGATGCAAAGGAATACTTCACAGTCTCTTTAGATTATGCTTACATAGCAAAATGAAGTGTGAGTGTAATGTACCATCTTAATCTATCTAGCACAGGTAATTGTAGCATTGAATGTGTGGGAACAATTCCAGCAATTAGAATAAGCATCCAGGAGGCCTACACTCTGGTTGATGGCATGTGCTAAAGCTCATACTGCCTCATGTCATCTGCTGACATAGGTAAGTAAGGTATACAAGTGCCTGCTAGAATCATGCTTTCCTTTACTGTGAAGCCATGCGGCTTTCGTTTGCAGTAGACTGCCGTGATAGTATGTGGGTCCACTCACCCCTTCTAGGAAGGAAGCTATACATTCTGAGCAACCGCCTAAAGTAGATGTAAAGGGGATTTGCTCCTGTGAGGAGAATGGAAGCCATGAGATTGTTCCTGGAAGAAATCATACAGGGACTTACTTACCTGTTAGGGACTAATTCAAGAATTCCAGATACAGGATAAAACTTTCAACAGTTCCTAAAATCACCATTTTCAAAAGGACATCTCGGAGCCATTGGCTCTCAATGACCACAACTAGTAAAGACATATTTATGGGGTCCCCAGTGACTTCCACCAAGTTAGCTATCAGGCTGTATATTTCTTTAAGGAGATTTTGGAGTACTGAATTGTGGCTTGTACTGCTCACTTGTTTGCTTTATACTGTGCTGAGCATTGTTTCATTGTATTTCCTCCTCCGTTGTCATAGAAAGGGGACAAAAGAAATCCTGAGGAATTGGGACCAACGTTTAAATCTCAAATCTAGCATTACCCACAAAAAGGAGACCTTTTTTTAAAAACTGAGTCAAAAACTGAGTAAAATGGCTGAGCTCTCTGTAGCTTCTGTCTGAAAGGAAGAGAGTTGTGAATTTTCGAAACAGAGTAAGATGAATGTGTCTTTACATGTGGCTTATGTGCTAGAATACAAGGCTAAGTGACAAACTGCCACAGCTGGGTGGTCTTACTCTCTACTCTGCAGTAAATATGGAAATTTTGAAACAAAGTATTAGACAAGGGAACACAGCTGGTGAGGTTTGAAGACAAATATTAAATGGGATGAAAACTAGCAGTTATTGGTATGGACAGGGCAGATCCAGGATTTGGCAAAGGGGAGCTGCTACCCATGTTGCAGGGATGCCTGCATCTCTTGCTCCCAGCCTCCTCGCCCCCACCCCCCACCAATATAGGCAGACCACATTGCAGGAGCCTCTGGAGACTTTTAAATTCCCCTCCATGCTCAAAGGTGTGACCCCTGCACTTCCCTCCCTCCCTCCTCGGCTGGCCAGTGTTACTTTCCCCACTGTCCCAGGGATGGGGAAAGCTTTAAATCCACTTCTGCCTACTCTGGCCAGGATACGTGTAGGCTGGGCTCAGCTGGGGACAACAGCAGCAGTGATGGGGGGGGGGATGGGCAGGTGGGTTTCCTTTTCCCCATACCTGCTCCCATACACACCCTGCTCATTGCTGCTGTCCCCAGCTGAGGGCAGCATCACAAAGGTTGGCTGGAGTGGGCAGGAGAGGGTTTGAAGCTTCCCCTGCCACCAGGACAGCAGAGAAAACAGCAGTGACAGGGATGGGATGGGAAAGAGAGGGGAGGGGATGTGCCTTTGAGCATGGAGGGAAAGTGGGGAGGATTCTTACCTACTTCGGGGACTTGAAAGTCCCAGGGGCTCCCATGGAGCAGTCCAGTCTGGAAGGTGTGTGTGGGGGGGTGCAGCTGTGCTGCTGCACTCCCTCTGAATCCTCCTCTGGACACAGAGGAGAAAAACAAAACTATCCTGCTGAAGGCAGGTGATGTAAGTATCAATGAGCAGAGAACTCTACTTGTGTCTTTAAAATTTAGTCTTCACTAGAAATTATGGAGCTGGAAGTTTTTACAGTAATAGCTGGATTGTGACTGCAATTACCTGGGATAATCTGGGATAATTATTTAGAATAATTCATGGTATAATCCCTAGTAGTCCGGAAGATGGAAGGAATTGTTTTTATACACTTTGAAACAAAGCTCCGAATTAAAAGAGGCTTGAACTGAGAATTTATGAAGTTAAAAAGAAAATCCACAAAACCTTACAGTAATGCACAGGATTTCCAAATGACACCAACAATATCACATCAGTATTTTGAGGATTGCAAATATGGAAGATCACAAAATGTTTTTGGTGTCTGAGAAGTCAGTCTTTCAGCCTTTCACCTAAGACAATTCTATTCAAATCCCTGTCACATCAAGTGCATCCCAGTGTCTTCCATAAGCATAATTAGTTGTAGATTTCTGCTGAGATTGTCTTTGATTTATGATCCATATTTCTGTAGAAGCCTGCTACCTGGTGTGGTCGTTACATTAACAGAGTACTTAATATCATCCCAGATTACTGCCGTTTATATGTTGCCAGAGGGAAGGTCTGCAGGACTAAAGGAAGGCATGTAGGAAGTGAAAGTATAGGCATTGTCTGCTGCATCTATGGATAGGTTTATCTCCTGGATCTGGGTTAGGTTCTCTGGGTAGGGAGCTGCCAATTTCCACACCCATATTCATCACCTGAGGGGTTGAAGTTTCTGTTAAATACCATTTAAATTTTTTTGAATGTTTAACCTCTGCTCTCAGTACTGTCATAGCAAGTGTGTTGCCTTCTTTGAATCATTGATTTGATTTAGCCTAATTCAAATACATTTGACTTCAGCCTTCATTTCTGTTGAATTCCAAGAAAGATACTACGTTCTGGCCTGAACATTTATTTGATCACCTGCAAGTACCTATAATAATTCAAGCTCAGTTGAGAAAGTAAATGACAATGTCTACATTTTCTTTTTTAGGATTGGTCTGGAAGTCTTATTGTGGCTGCTTTAGCTGGAGCTTTTGGATCTTCCTTTCTTTATGGTTACAATCTCTCTGTAGTGAATGCTCCAACAGTGGTAAGTGGCCTAGAGCATCTTGTATTTAATTTCAGTAGAGGGCAATGTTGTCAAAAAATTGCATATCCTTAAAATACTTGTTTGTAAGATTTTCCATATAATGGGAAAGAGAAAGTGTGATACTGGTTAACTTCCGAGAGGCTTTTGTTCACTATAACTAGGTTTATATATTTGTTTCTTTCTACCCATAGTTGTCTTTTACTCAGATATTTGTCATGAAAACAGACTGTTTCTGTTGAGCTGAGTAGGTTACACATATGCACATGCCTCAATTGACTATCAGTTTTTGGCTGGTTTTTCCCTGCTTCTCAAGAGCTGTGCAGCATTCTATTCCCAGTTGAATAATTTAAGTGTCTCTCTGTTCTTTAAAATAATGAGCCTGTTCTCCTGAATTTCTTGTTGGTACCTTGCTTACAGGCCATGTTTTGAAATTGCTATATTGCTGTATCGACCATTTATCACCTACAACATGTTGGGTACTGATGACGTGAGTGAAATACTATGAAATAACCTGTAGTATTCTTTGAGTTTTATACCATATTTTAGACCTTATTTATAATTATTGAATAAAGTATGGAAATCTTTAATTGTATTATATTATGTATGCATATTTAGGGGTCTCCCTTAGTTGAGGAGATTTTGCAGGGAGATTATGGGGCCAGTCACCATATACACAGGCTGACTGCAGCAGCCCTCCCCTCCCCCCACACCAACCTCTGATTGGGCCATAGTAGCCCTACCCCTTGCCACTGATTGGCTGTGAGGGCTGTCCATCATGCGACCCTGGCCCTCACTGCTGATTGGTAGCAAGGGGCAGGCCCACATGACAGACAGCTCTCTCAGGCAGTCAGCAGAGAAGAGTGGGTGTGGCAACCATCCTAGGCTGTCCTTTGGGCAGGCTGCTCCCTTTCGCCCCAGCTGGGCTGCAGTGCCCTGGGCCAGTGTTGTGAAGAGTGCTGGCTCCCTGTGAGGAGCTAGCATTTTATTTTTAGTAAGTTTCTTCTTTTTTTCCACAGACTTTGCAGAGTTTGCAAAATCACAATTTTGGTAGGTCCCTATAGACAATATATTTAATATATTATATGAATTATATTAATATTATATATATTACATTATACACTATATATAATCATATTAATATTTTATACACAAACACACTATTTTTAATCACTCTATATATAGAGATTAAAAATAGTGGCTCCAGCTAATATATATATTAGCTGGAGCCACTATTTTAAAATTTCTTAAAATATAAGAACAAAGGCACATTCATTGAAAATGAAGATGTCAAAACTGATAAAAGGAACTAACCTGTACAATGATTGCCAACAGAGATCACTGACACTAAGGGTGAACTCCCGGTTTGATTGAAGTTTTGCTATGAACTCCAGCTGAGCTGGGATTTCACCCCAAGAGCTTATGTGTATAAGAAGAAAGTCCTTTGTTATACAGTAGACCCCCGATTTACGCGGGTATTGTATTCCAGGGGAATTTCATGTAAGTCAAATTCGCGTAAGTTGGGACAACTTTCCCCGTAGGAAATAATAAAATAGTGAGGGGTAGCGTACCCCAGACACACCTTAGTTATAGCTTTTTTTCCCCTTTTCTCAGGAAATCGCCTTTAGGAGGCGCGTCTAGCGTCTCACCTATGCATCTTGAGATGCCACTACCACAATGGCGGCACAGCTCCACTTGATTCCACCTGCAAATCTTGTGAGGCGTTCGTGTATATATGTGAATCTTGCAGGCGTTCGCGTATATACGCGAATGATGCGCATCACAAGGGGCATTTTCTAGTCTGGACCCTAATAAAAAAACTGCATAAACGCGAGACACGTGTAAGGCAGAATTGCGTACATTGGGGTCTACTGTACTGCAAAGGATAAAAAATTAGGTATATAAAGCCTCATGCTTTCATGGCATAAACTGATCCCTAATTGAAAAGATTAGGATGAAATTTTTTGTATAGGAAGCTTATTGTGTAAATTGTTTGCTAAAAAGCTTTTAAGAGCTTCCTCTGATGCAGCTAGTATTGTCAGTTGTCAGGGAATATTAGACTACCTGGACTACATGTCTGATCCATTTTGAAAGTTTCTATGTACTATGTCAGCTTATGATTTTTCTCTATATAAACCAGTTTGGAAATGACCATTACCCAGCAAACTGTGGTGCCGCAAGTACCCTTGGTGGTGATTCAGCTGGTGACTGTTTTTTTCACCCTCTGAATCAGCATTGTTCTAATAGAGCAGTGCTGCTCAACCTCTTGGCCCCATGGGCTGGATCCCACCTGGGGTTGGTGCACAGGGTTAGGCCCCATGTACCTAGACTGTGCCCCACACCACCCCAGGCTCACACACTTGGATCAGCCCCTGTTCTGCCTCAGCCTGTGCACCTTATCTAACATGCATGGCCACGTTATCTGGCCTGTAGAGTTTCCCCCTGGGTCCAGAAATTTGGCATTAGGGGAGTGGTTATTAACACTGGCACTGCTCCCCCTCCACCAAATTTTCAGACCTGTGGAGCACCCCACAGGCTGCATGGGCTTTGGGCTACATCTGGGTTGTGGCCCAGGGGTTGAGCACACCTGGAATAAAGCATTAGAGGCCAGTCTGATCTTACAAGTGCCAACTTTCCTATGAGACTTAAAACAGACATAATTAAAGATGGTATGATGTTTTTGACAAAAACAAAAGTAAGAGAGGGAGTGGGAAGAGTGTGATAGCTGCACACTCAGCAAGCTGAGAACGTTGGAATTAGTCACCGTTGGAGTTGTCCTTATCATGTCCCTTTGACCTCCATGCTTGCACTCTCCTCATCAGTACAGCCTATTACGTGGTTCAGAAGTTTATCTTGTATATATTGCGGGCTGTTCTGCTTGTAATCATTACTAGAATTGCTCCCTTTTTTTTGCACTATGAGATTGACATGCCATTGCCATATCCCTGGCATTGGTTTCACTGAAGCACTTCAGGAGGAAGACTGCATGAAGGTTGTTGTCTTCCACTCTAATACCGATTTGACTTATTTAGAATCAAAAAGAGCCACCTTCATCCATGCTCAGTCCTACCTCAGCCTGGGTTAGCTAGTGTCTCTTTTTATCATGGCCCTGAAAATACCAATAATTGGGTGTGCTGCCCAAGAACAGAATCACAACGTGGTTTCTGGTTCCTCTCTCACTCCAAGTACTAGGGAGAGAATAAACTGAAGGGGGTCAGGGGATGTATTGGCTTAACACAAGCCCCTTTTTTTTCTAGTCCAACTCAGCTGCAAAGACAAGGGTGCTGAGAAGTGTGGGGAATGCTAACTTGATTGACTGACTCTCTTTCCCTGCCATTTTGTATCTGGCCTGCCTGCATGATACAAGGGTGACAGCTCTGCAGAACCTTGTGCTCTCCCACTCATCACAGGGGAATGAGGAAGGTACCTCATGCCTCATTGCTTCATGTGAATATGTAGTATAGGTCACGATCTTGCCCTGTGTGAGCACACCCGTTGGAAGACTTGTCCAGTGTGAGGGAGGGGCCCTAAACAAAGAGGATGTAATTGTTAATAATCATGACCTTTTTATAAGGTCATGTCTTGCAAGTGCTGCAAAATACTTGCCCATAATGATAAACCAGGTGCTGAATTAGTTAACTTGTCTGAGCAGCTGAACTGCTTTGATCATTCACAGCCTAGCCTTCAGCAGTGCTGAACCCATCGCATGAGATGTTAAGCACTTTCAGCTCCAGGTTCACTTGAAAGCAATTACCATCAATGTCCAACCTTGCACAGGATCAGGCCCCTCCATCTTCAAGGAGTTACTATATATGGAACTGAGAGCTAAAAAAGCCTGGTCAATACAGCTGTTGCTGAAGAGGTGAGGGTTAGGAAATGGATGAGTACAGATTCAGCTCTGCATGGGGAGATGATTCAAGGTTGATTTAAAGCAACTGGCTATCAGATCTTCCAAGGTGAACCTTGCAGAACTGATTATTGCTATTTTCATAATTTACCAATATAGTTTTTGATCAGTGTCCCAGGACATATCACCTCCTCAAACAGAAGGAAAAGCCTGAAGGGCCCCATTGCAAAATTAGGTCATGCCAGTGAGCATCAGCAGAAGCAATCATATTGTGGGTAAGTTAATTTAATTTCTCCTTCGCTACAAGGAGGGAAATAAAACTGCACTAGCCTTTTTGTTGGAGCAGCTTGCATCACCCTCCATGCTGATTTTTAGGTATGCTAGTGGGTATAGCATGTTAAACCAGAGCTGTCCCCATTTTTCTACTTCTTGTCTACCCACCTGTATTTATGAAGGAACAGAAGCCAAGCAACAGCTTGTTTGCTTGTGTGAGTAGAACAGCAGAGGAGAAGAAGCAGGCTCCTTGTTCTTCTTGCTTGCTCCCCTGTGTGGGTCCTCAGCAGGGCTTATGACAGAGCCTGTGGGGTGGCACAGGCAGAACTCCCTCCAGAAATATTTAGGAAGCTTGACAAATCTTGAGATGCCCAGTTTGAAAGGGTATGAATCCAAGTTCTGTGTTCTTTCAGGGTTCTTTTTGTTCAGTACACAGGAGAATGATGCAATGATCCACTTTGTTTTTAATGGTAAAAGTAATAGCTCTGCAATTTTTTTGTTACCATGCATAGTTTGCTTTCTTCCTGCAAGCAGTGATGTTTGTACCTTGGACTGATATTTAGGAGTGGAATTTAATACCAAGTATATTAGAACTGCTTAGAGAGCTAAAGACTGAGATAACTTAGAAGTACTAGTCAGGCATACTCACCATAAGCTCTAGGTGGCCTATAGTATTAAAAATCAGGTCACTGCCTTCTGTTAAAAAGAACTCTCCTGTTTTTCTGTAGTTTCATAGTTGGTCGGGTCGGAAGGGACCTGAGCAGATCATCGAGTCCGACCCCCTGCCATGGGAGGAAGAAGTTCTGGGGTCAAATGACCCTGGCAAGGTGTTCATCTAGCCTCCTTTTAAAAAACCCCAGGGTAGGAGCCAGCACCACTTCCC